AGTTTACAAGGAAAACTTCATATTATAGTCTATTTTAAGTCGATATACGCACATGCACGTGGCCATAACGTAATCGGGAGTAGGAATTTATGATATAATAGGCATTGAATACCTAAAATGGTACTCACTCCGATTTTTATTTTTTTTTTTATTTATAATCAGTAGTATAATAATAAATGATTACGACAAAAATATWATTAGATTTCTCTGAAAAATACCCAAGGCCCACATGATAAATCTGTAAAATTTGCCTTGGCGTAGTTATAAGTATTGTTGAATACCAATTATGGTACTCACGGCGCTAAGAACCATTATAATAAAAATGGCTCGGCAGTCAACTTGTTAAGTAAAATTTAAAAGCACATGATATAATTATTATACCGTATAGAATTTATTAGACGGTTAAATAATTTGTACTGAATAGTATGTTATGTAGAGTCTGCTGTGTGGATAATCATCGTGCAGTAAGTAGTGACTAGTGTAAACTATCTAGGTACTAGGTACTAGGTAGTAGGTATCTACTAATTACTATACCTACTTATCTAATACCTACTTGGGTAYGAGTTAGGGTAATGTAGAAAAAAAAAGTAAACTCAAACAAAATAATATATGTTAAAATTAGTATTTATTAACTATTTAATGTTTAATTAACTTCTAATATTAAAAAAAAGTGATAAAAGTATTTGAAAGAAAAATAACATTTATATCTTTATTATTAAGTGATTATACCTTATTATCACAAAATTTATAAATTAAAACAATATAATAATCTTAAAATAAAAGTAATGATTTTCATTTTTGGGAGTTGAAATGGTTGTTCAAAAAGACAATGCCATCTACCGTATTGCCACCAAGACAACATTACATTACAAACTATACTTAGTGTTCCTTATGCAGGAGACAGCCAACTATATTATAAAAGAAAACTTAACGTTTACAATTTCACAATTTTTGATGCATTTAATAAATATGGTCAATGCTGGGACGAATGTAGTGGAAAAAAAGGTAGTATTGAGATAGGCACATGTTTAATGAAATACYTATTTGAGCTACCGACTACTGTTCATAATTCATCATGTTTCTTCTTTTTCTAATACATGCGGAAAACAAAATCGCAATAAAAATGCTTGTGCAGCTATGTTATATGCTGTTAACAAAATAACTAATTTAAAAATAGTTGATCTCGAATATATGAAGACGGGACACACATATATAGAGGCAGATGCTATGCATGCAACAATAGAGAGGAACAGAAAACATAAAAAAATATACACTACAAGAGAATGGGCATTACTTATATCATCTGCAAGATTAAATCCAAGCCCTTATAACTTAACTACTTTGATTCGTTCTGACTTTTATGATTTAAACAATCTTACATCTAAAGTTATACTAAATACCACTAAACACACTGTAAATAATTTACAAGATAGGTGAATGGTGCTGTAAAAGTTCAGTGGTTAAAAATTAAATGGCTACGCTTTGAAAAGTCTAAGCCCAACACTATTCAGTACAAATATAATTTAAATGATACAGAATTTTATGAAATTGATATAACTCAATGTAATAAAAGAAAAGTACTATGCAGTGATTAGGGCAATATTGTATTAAAACCAGCATACACAAAACAAATGCCTATAAGTGAGGCAAAAAAGAATGATTTACTATTTCTAATGGAAAAAAGATAATACCAGATTATTCAAATTATATTAAGTCTATTCCATCTACAAGTCGACCAAAAGGCAACTCTTCAGACTGTGAATAATAAATCTAATAAAAAGTTGCCAATTTTTTTTAATTCTTTAATTTGTATTTAAATATTCAAACTATTATGTTATGGGGAAGTCTGAATATTAGTTTTAATCTTTTAACTATTGTTATTTTTTAATTGAATGTTACTTTTTATTTAAATATTAAACCAAAAGTCATGGTTAAGTCTGAATAATAATTTTATTGAGTTTTACTTTAGTTATTTGTTGATATAATTTGTTACTTTTTATTTAAATACAAAACCAAAAGTCATGGTTAAGGCTGAATAATAATTTTATTGAGTATTTTATTCTTTGATTT